AGAGCGTCTCCCACGCAGTCGATCGTCGTTGACTCGGGGTTCCGCTGCAGTAGAACGTCGTTGACTCGGGGTTCCATTGCTGTAGAACGTCGTTGACTGGGGGTTCCACTGCTGTAGAACGTCGTTGACTCGGGGTTCCACTGCAGTAGAACGTCGTTGACTCTGGGTTCCACTGCTGTAGAACGTGTCAGTGTCTGTGATGAAGATGAACTGCAGTTGAACCGAACCACTCTCTCTCTCTCTCTCTCTCTCTCTCCCCCCCCCCACCACTCCCTCCAGTGTAATCTTCGTCCACGGAGACCTGCAGTGGGACATTTTCCAGGTCATCATTTCCCGCTCCACCACTCCAGACCTCATCAAGATCGGCATGAAGCTGCAGGAGTTTTTCACTCAGCAGTTCGACACCAGCAAACGTGCCCTCTCCACCTGGGGGCCCGGGCCCTACCTGCCCCCCAAAACACCCGTCATCAACAGTGAGAAAGGAGCTGAGCTGTGTAAGAACAACAGGAGCTTTGATGTTTGTAGTTGACGGTCGTCACGGTAACGGCTCACACACCGATCATTAACCAGAGAAAGCAGCTGATTGGTGGCAGACGCTATTGGTTAGCAGCTCCACAGCTGGTGGTCCAATCAGAGTGGAGCGGTCAGCTCACCGTGTTCTTCCTCTCTGTCCCGGTCACAGACATGGATGCTGCCCACCACCGACACTGGCCGGGGGTGCTGAAGGTCATCTCCGGCTGCCACATCTCACTCTTCCAGATGCCTCTGCCTGAGAACGCCGTGCAGCTGGGCGGTTCCATGAGCCTTCATGGTAATCACATGACCCTGGCCTGCTTCCACGGCCCCAACTTTCGCTCTAAATCCTGGGCTCTGTTCCACCTGGAGGAGCCCAACATTGCATTTCTGACTGAAGCTCAGAAGATCTGTGAAGACGGTGAGTGTTTCTCCACCACAGAGTGATTCCTCCCTGAACTGATGCTCCATGGACTTGGTTTCTCCTCCAACTTTATCTCCAGGTTCCAAGCAGGTTTCCACCTACGTGGTCCAGACTCTGGACTTTCACCTTGGTCACAACACCATGGTCACTAAACCATGTGGGGCGCTGGAGAGTCCAATGGCCACCATAACCAAAATAACTCGCCGACGGCACGAAAACCCTCCACCGGGTGTTGCTACAGTCAAAGAGTGGTTCAACTATGTCACTGCCATGAGGAACGAAGGTAGGTACTACATACTACATCACAGAACCTGTACATGTACCTGTATGTGCTGGTTCTACCACTACCACACTACTGCCAGTACACACAACGTGGAATACAACAGCACCGACTATACATATATACATATATATGTATAAATATATACAAACATATACAGTATATATGTGGAAATATATACAAACATATACAGTATATATATGTGTAAATGTGGAAACATATACAGTATATATGTGTAAATGTGGAAACATATACAGTATATATATGTGTAAATGTGGAAACATATACAGTATATATATGTGTAAATGTGGAAACATATACAGTATATATATGTGTAAATGTGGAAACATATACAGTATATATATGTGTAAATGTGGAAACATATACAGTATATATATGTGTAAATGTGGAAACATATACAGTATATATATGTGTAAATGTGGAAACATATACAGTATATATATGTGTAAATGTAGAAACATATACATCTATTCAGATCAATGGTCCAGTTTATTTACAGTGAAGTCTTTTATTTTTGAGTTCTGCCGACCGCTGTGACTACAGAACCTGTGGTTCTGAAGGTTCCACAGAGCAGACCACTGCGTGTTCCACACTGTTCTCTTCTTCCACAGTGGCAGCTGCTCATCGTAGCTCCTCTTGAACCTCACTGTCTCCTGTCTGCTCTTATCTCTGTCTCCAGAGCTCAACTTGCTCAGAAACGTGGAGGCCAACAACCAGGAGGGCGGCGCCGCTGCCAAGAGCTCCAGTCTGCTGAGCAGCTTCCGCAGCTCTCCCAGCTACAACCATGAGACGGAGACCATATTTGCTCTGCCCAGGATGCAGCTGGACTTCAAGTCCATCCACGTCCAGGACCCAGAAGAACCTTCTCTCACAGGTACACCTACACCTGGAATTCTCACAGGTACACCTACACTTAGTCTTCTCACAGGTACACCGACACCTGGTCTTCTCACAGGTACACCGACGCCTGGTCTTCTCACAGGTACACCTACACTTAGTCTTCTCACAGGTACACCTACACTTAGTCTTCTCACAGGTACACCGACGCCTGGTCTTCTCACAGGTACACCGACACCTGGTCTTCTCACAGGTACACCGACGCCTGGTCTTCTCACAGGTACACCGACACCTGGTCTTCTCACAGGTACACCGACACCTGGTCTTCTCACAGGTACACCGACGCCTGGTCTTCTCACAGGTACACCGACGCCTGGTCTTCTCACAGGTACACCGACACCTGGTCTTCTCACAGGTACACCTACACCTGGAATTCTCACAGGTACACCTACACTTAGTCTTCTCACAGGTACACCTACACTTAGTCTTCTCACAGGTACACCGACGCCTGGTCTTCTCACAGGTACACCTACACCTGGAATTCTCACAGGTACACCTACACTTAGTCTTCTCACAGGTACACCGACGCCTGGTCTTCTCACAGGTACACCGACACCTGGTCTTCTCACAGGTACACCGACGCCTGGTCTTCTCACAGGTACACCTACACTTAGTCTTCTCACAGGTACACCGACGCCTGGTCTTCTCACAGGTACACCGACGCCTGGTCTTCTCACAGGTACACCGACGCCTGGTCTTCTCACAGGTACACCTACACCTGGTGTCTGAGCTCAGCTCACAGTCATGTGACTCAGTGACTTTTGTTTCTCTCACCTTGGTTTTGGTCTGATCGTTTTTTTCTCTCCAGACTCCAACAACAAACCAAAGGTGGAGTGCAGCGTGGTGACAGAATTCACCGACCACATCTGTGTCACCATGGACGCTGAGCTCATCATGTTCCTCCACGACCTGGTCTCTGCCTACCTGAAGGAGAAGGAGAAAGGTGGGGCTCTCTCACTCACCCGCTCTCTCACTCAGCCGCTCTCTCTCTCACCCGCTCCCTCCCTCACCCGCTCTCTCTCTCGCCCGCTCTCTCACCCACCCGCTCTCTCACTCAGCCGCTCTCTCTCTCACCCGCTCTCTCACTCTCTCACTCACCCGCTCTCTCTCTGAATCCCTAACTCCAACTGTTGCTAACCTTTTACTGGTTGTCTGTCTGTGTCCGTCCGTCCGTCCGTCCGTCCTCAGCCCTGTTTGCTCCCCGGATGTTTGCAGCCCGTCCGGGCCAGAAGAGTCCGACTGCCCTTCACAACAACAGCAGCAGCAGCAGCAGCACAGACTCAGACAAAGACAGGGAGGAGAACATCAACTACACCACCGTGGACTGGAGGGAGTTCATGTGTAACACCTGGCACCTGGAGCCCACCCTCAGGTCAGTCACCGCCTCAATACTGACCCCTGTGGCTGTTATCTGGCAGTACATGTTAGTGAAGTCCACTGCTGTCGGTCGGTCACCTGTGCTAGATGAGTCTGGAGCGTAGATCTGTGACACACAGAACAACGGTCCTACTGAAAGATGTCCAATATCACAGGAAGTACATGACCAGTATAAGTACTGCAGTGTGTACTGTATGTACTACAAATACAAAGCTGACGATCACACAGTGGTAAATCCCACCTAGACTCTGACGAAGTTCTGTCATGGGTTCTCTCCTCTCTCCTCAGACTCATCTCCTGGACCGGCCGTAAGATCGACCCAGTGGGCGTGGACTACATCCTGCAGAAACTGGGCTTCCATCACGCCAGGACTACAATCCCCAAGTGGCTACAGAGAGGTGTGATGGACCCCCTGGACAAGGTTCTGTCAGTGCTCATCAAGAAGCTGGGCACGGCCCTGCAAGACGAGAAGGAGCGGAAGGGCCGTGACAAGGAGGAGCACTGAGGAGAACCTTGGTGGAACCTTAGTAGAACCACTGTCATTAAAGCTGTGCAAACACTACGTTCTCTACACTGGAATACAACAAGTACTACTGCAACACACACACACACACACACACACACACACACACACGAGCGCATGGTCACTGCTCAACCCTGGGAAGGTCACTGTGGCACCACAGTCAGCAGGGGGCAGCGGGGAGTGGGGACGGGGCCATGCTCAGTGCACCTCGGTGGAGTAGTGGACTCGAACCTGAAACCTTCCAGACCTAAGTCTGCTTCCTCAACCACTAAGGCACCACTGCCCGTGGGTCTCCAGTGACGGCCTTGGTTCCGACTGAAACACTCTGCACCTCTGCCCGTGTCTGTGACTGGTTCAACTTTGACCCTATGACCCCTGTTGTCAGTGACCTCAGTGACCTCAGTGAAACGGCTTCAAGGTTGTTGTTTTTTTTTTTTGTTTGTTTTTTTTAGGTCAACTGATTTTTTTGAGGACCTTTTTGAAACTTGTTTTTGTTTCCCATAGAACAGGTGGTGGAACAGTGTGATGGTTCTTTAAAGAACAGTGTGATGTCACTGTAGGACACACCTGATAAATCTACACACTGTTCCTTTAAGGACATGACTTTGACCTCTTGACCTCCTCATTCCTGGGCCTCCATCTTGTCGTCGTCTTTTCTAATCCATAGTAGCTGTGTACAGAAATGAATTTCTAAATGTCTTGATTTCTTAACTTAATAATAAAAGAATTGACCTTTGATTTTACACAAGTCTTTGATGAGTCACGTCTTAGTTTGTCCCCGGGTTGATGATGTCATGGTCAGACGGGTTGATGATGTCATGGTCAGACGGGTTGATGATGTCATGGTCTAATTTGTTGATGATGTCATGGTCTGGTCAGACGGGTTGATGATGTCATGGTCTAATTTTACTGATAGATCCAAGGCATCAGTCCAGTGTGTCAGTGTGAGAGTTGGTGTCATGTGACCACGTAATGACATCAAGACAGGTTTGGGATTCGTACCTGCGGAGACATTGACTTTTGAGCAGGGTAGACTGTCTGTAGACTGTAGACTACTGTCTACAACATACTTGATCTTCTGCTGCTGCTGCTGCTGCTGCTGCTGAACAAACAGCGTCACCAAGTTGCGTCACGTCAAGCATGAATTTCAAGCGTTTCAATGGGCTTCAACTGCGTCAGCAGCAGTACTGTAGTACTTGAAGGCTGAGTGAAGTATTTGTGTTCAGGGATGAATGAGCTCCACTGTTACTACAGTCATCGCTGCAGACCATCGTTAAAGCCTGGACCATGGACCACTCTGGTACACTGAGGCTATCAATACATAAAATACGTCTTGTGACTAAAAATGACTCCAAAGGGAAGGAAAAACAAGTTGCTGTATTCAGGTCTGTCCCTGGTTTTCCTCCACCTGGTATACCATCGTGGTTATACCATCGCGGTTTGGTATACCATCGTGGTTATACCATCGTGGTTATACCGTCGTGGTTATACCGTCGTGGTTATACCGTCGTGGTTATACCGTCGTGGTTATACCGTCGTGGTTATACCGTCGTGGTTATACCGTCGTGGTTATACCGTCGTGGTGTCGCCGTCTTTTATTCCTTTGATGATCTTATCTTTATTCACAAACTCATCAAAAAGTTTGTTAGCCACATCTAGCATGAATGTTGTAGCAAACTCGCCATCAGTGAATGGCTTTCCGTTCCTCAACTATTGCTAAAGAAGTTGCTGCTGCTGACCTACTAGCCTGGACTCTGGTTAGTAGGACTCTCGGCAGGCCTTTTCACTGCTGCCCCCCACTGGTTATTTTGATGATATTTGAGTGGTTAGGGTTATCGATCATTGTATACTTGACACACTGCAGTACCTGCTGTCTCCACATGGTGCTGAAGTGTAGGGTACTCCTCGTCTTTTTTTCTTCACGGGGTCAAAAATCAGCTGACTGACTGATGATGGCGGGAAGTTTAGTTCATTACCTCAATGGTGCGTGTAGGCTAGGTGTCGGACCTTCCTGTACCCCGAAGGACAGATGTGATTGGCTGCTGTGAAGGACAGATGTGATTGGCTGCTGTGAAGGACAGATGTGTGGATTTTCCGTCTGTGGATTTTCCGTCTGTGGATTTTCCGTCTGTGGATTTTTTGTCTGTGGATTTTTTGTCCTGTTTTTTTCAGTCACTGTTTAATCAGTACCACAGTTTGAAACAGTTCCAGGACATAACACAGATCCAAGTGGCTGAGATGAAGGAGGAGGAGGAGGAGGAGGAGGAGGAGGAGGAGGAGGAGGAGGAAACCAGTCAGCTGAGAAGCTTCCAGACCCCGGGTCTAAATACCCCTGCTGTTTTTACCCTCCGTCCAACTGAGCGCACAGGAAGCTGGAGAGAAGATGAAACCATCGTCTGAACTTTCAACCACAAAAATGTCTCGGTTTTTTTTTTTGACTTTTCATGCAGTTCTGTTTTGTTCAGTTCTACCAGGTGTTCCTTTGATCACAGCTGAGCGGCTGAACAGTAAGTGTGTGTGTGTGTGTGTGTGTGTGTGTGTGTGTGTGTGTGTAATGCAATACTTATGAGCATTTGTGCCGTGTTCACAGGACCGTGTGCTGTGTTCCCTCTAACCCACTGTCAGTAGCTTCATCTTTGGATTTGTTTGTTTGTTGTTGTTTTTTTTTTTGTATTAATTGAAGTCTTATTTAAATCTGTGAGGTCGGTCAGTGTCAGTGTCAGTGTCAGTGTCAGTGTCAGTGTCAGTTTTCCTCACTGACGTCACTGTTAAGGCTGTTGTTCACTTGTTCACCTCCAGCCTCATCCATCACAGAGTTAATCCTCTCATCGTTTGATCAAAGTCTTCGTTTGATCAATGAATCCAGGCTTCAGTCCAGACGACGGTACTGAACAGTCAGAACCATCAACACTGTTCTCTCCGAGCACAATCAGAAATATTCCCTCTGAAATGTTCTGCACAGACGGAGCTCGTCCTCGTCCTCGTCCTCCACCTCCTTCAGGTTCTTCCGTCCCTCTGATCCTGAGACCCTGGGGATTTCTCGAGCCGCGGAGGTTTTTCAAACGACTGTGCGAGTCCTGAGTCAGAGAGTCAGAGCTGCAGGTACATCCATCTGGACTTCTGCTCTGCCGACCACGGACACCAGAGAACACCAAGAGGAACGATTGTGGTAAAAGGTTGAATTTCACTTTCACCTGTCTTTGTCTCGTTGTCCAACTGCCAGACTTGTTGTCCTGGAAGGACGTGGAGCTGATTGGACGGCTGTCTCAGTGTCCCGCCTCCCACACAGCCCCGTGTCCTGTCACCTCAAAGTACCGTTCCATATCTGGGCTCTGCAACAACAGGTGTGTACAGAACCCCACGTGTCTGTTCTCAGGACTCATGGATCGTCCTGCTGCCAGTCCTACGTAGAACGTAGGCAGAACAAGTCAAATGTAGGTAGAACATGTAGAATGTAGGCAGAACGTATGTAAAACGTATATAGAACGTAGGTAAAATGTAGGAGAAAGTAGAACCTTAGAAACTGAACACCTGGTCTGGGTTAAAACAAAAATAATAGATTATGATTCGTTGTTGATCAAAGGTGCTGAATAATCTGTGTAGTATTGCAGTATTTTTGATTCTGTGTTTTAGAGAAAACCCTCTGTGGGGAGCAGCCCACACCCCCCTGGTCAGATGGCTTCCTGCAGAATATGAAGATGATCAGGAAGAACCCAAGGGCTGGAACACAGGACGGCTGTATAACGGACATCCACTGCCCCTGGTAACCCACTGTCCTCTGTCCACTGAAGTTACCAAAATCAACGGGGGGGGGGGGGGGGGGGGGGGGGGGTTGCGGGGTGTTTTAAAATATTGGTAGGAATCAGTATCAAATTTACCAAATAATCTGAGATCAGAACTGACTGCAGCCACAGTAAAGACCTGAAGGACAGGGGACTGACGTGTGACTGACGTGTGTCCACTGTGTCTCCAGCCGTGGGACGTCAGCAGTAAAATAATGAGGGGCTGGTCCAGCGGTGAAGACGACGTCTATTCTCTCCTGTTGGTGGAGTGGGGTCAGTACCTGGACCATGACGTCACCTTCACCCCTCAGAGCACTGATGCTGCTGCTGCTGCTGCTGCTGCTGCTGCTGCTGTGGATTGTCTCAACACCTGTGAGAATGTGCAGCCATGTTTCCCCATCAAGGTAGACACAACAAACTTGTCTGTTCCAGGGTCTTTCTTCACTCGTGAATCAGTTCCTCTGTGTCTTTGGACTCTGGTCCAAATGTCCTCTGGTCTTCAGGGCGTAGAATCACAGAACTGTTCAAACAGTCCTGGTCCAAATGTCCTCAGGACAGTTCCAGTGACAGCAACAGTGTCAGTGGTGGTTCCACAATGCGTTCATGGTGTCATTTCTCCACAGATGAATGATTTTCACCCACAAACCCAGGACTGCTTGCCCTTTTACCGCTCCACCCCAGCCTGCCCGGTCAGTGTCGGGGCAGAGCTCACAGCAGTGTTTCAGAGACAGCAGATGAACGCCATCACGTCCTTCATCGATGCGTCGCTCATCTACGGTCACACTCCCGAGCTGCAGAGCTCCCTCCGTGACCTCCGTGGCTTTAATGGGAAGCTAGCTGTCAACCAGCAGTTCAAGGATCCAAAAGAAAGAGCCTACCTTCCTTCTGTGGCCCGTCTACCGTCAACATGTCGCCAGGGTGGGCAGGTGGAGAGAGTGGAGTGCTTCAACGCTGGAGACAGCCGGGCCAACGAGGGTCTGCCCCTGATGGCCCTACATACTTTGTGGCTTCGGGAACACAATCGAATCACAGAGACGTTGAAAGTGATGAACGATCACTGGAGCCCGGAAATGTTGTATCAAGAAACTCGCAAGATCGTTGGAGCTTTGCACCAGGTCAGTGAGTTGATGACTGACTGTCAGTTGACCTGACTAACCTGATCCCAGTGTTTTTTTTGTTTTGTTGACTTGTCCGTCTCGTCTTCCAGATAATAACCTTCAGAGATTACCTTCCAAAGATCATCGGCCCCGAGTCTTTTGAACATTTCGTTGGACAGTATAAAGGATACGATCCAACCACAGACCCCTCTGCCTCCAATGTTTTTGCCACTGCTGCCTTCAGGTTTGGCCACGCCACCATCCCCCCCATCCTCAGGAGACTGAACGAAAGCTTCCAGCCACACGAGCGTTTCTCCCAGCTGAGACTGCACGATACTTTCTTTAGTCCCTGGAGGTTAGTCAAAGAAGGTCAGTGAAGTACCCTCACAAATTCTCTCCAAAATGGTTCAATACACGGAGCGCTAACAGGACCATGTTCAGGTCAGCCTCAAACCTTCAACGTTCAACTGAGAAAAAGAAACAGAAGTCCTTCTTGTTACGGTCATTACTGCAATTCTGGGTCAAACATGTTCAATTATAAAGGTCAGAGAAAAGCTCTTTTTCATGTGTATTATTTACAGTGTGCATCATTCAAATGTTACCTTCAGTCAGATAGACCATTCATAATATTAATGGATATATTTATGGGTATATTCATAAGTATATTTATGGATATCTTCATGGATATAATATATTCATAAGTATATTTATGGATATGTTCATGGATATATTTATAGGTATATTAATGGTATATTATAGATATAGTTATGGATATCTTCATGGATATTTTTATAGGTGTATTTATAGGTATATTTATAGGTATTCTTATGGATATATTTATAGGCATAATTATAGGTATATTTATGAATATATTTATAAGTGTATTTATGGATATATTTATAGGTATATTATAGGTATATTTATGGATATATTTATAGGCATATTTAAAGGTATATTTATGGATATATTTATAGGCATATTTAAAGGTATATTTATGGATATATTTATAGGCATATTTAAAGGTATATTTATGGATATATTTATAGGTATAATTATAGGTATATTTATGAATATGTTTATAAGTATATTTATGGATATATTCATAGGTATATTTATGGATATATTTATAAGTATATTTATGGATATATTCATAGGTATATTTATGGATATATTTATGGATATATTTATGGATATATTTATGGATATATTTACAAGTATATTTATGGGTATATTATAGATATATTTATGGATATCTTCATGGATATATTTATAGGTGTATTTATAGGTATATTTATAGGTATTCTTATGAATATATTTATAGGCATAATTATAGGTATTTTTATGGATATATTTATAGGTATATTTATGGATATATTTATAGGCATATTTAAAGGTATATTTATGGATATATTTATTGGTATAATTATAGGTATATTTATGAATATATTTATAGGCATATTTAAAGGTATATTTATGGATATATTTATTGGTATAATTATAGGTATATTTATGAATATGTTTATAAGTATATTTATAGGTATATTTATGGATATATTTATAAGTATATTTATGGATATATTCATAGGTATATTTATGGATATATTTACTGGTATAATTATAGATATGATGGTAAAGAGCTGGAGATGAAATCAATAAGTTCTGCTCTCAGACTGAAAGACTTCAAAGACTCTTGACAACTGTGTCACTAAAGAAGCCACGATCCTTACTGTAGCTTCCAGTGGAACAAGAACACTGCAGCTGTATTTTATGTTTTCTGTAAAAGAGCACATGCCGCAGGGTTTTATAGCATGAACACCCCCCCCCCAAACACCCTCCCCCACCCTGCTCCACCTCCCACTTTGAACAGCGCCATCATCCTCTGCTCTGTGAAGGTGGTGTGGAGCCGGTTCTCAGAGGTGTGGTTGGAAGTGCTGCCCCACTGGTTAACCCCAACATGCTGCTGGTGGAGGAGGTGACAGAGAGGCTGCTGGTCCCCAACGTCCCTCAGCACCTGGACCTGGCTTCACTGAACCTACAGAGAGGACGAGATCATGGTCTTCCAGGTACTTGATGTTCTTAGACAGTTCCTTGACTCATGAGAAGATCATAGAGCAGGAGCTCTTTGATCATGAAAGGTTGACATAAGGGCAGTGGTGGCTCGGTGGTGAAGGAAGTGGACTTGGGTTTGGAAGGTTGTAGGTTCAAGTCCACCACTGAGGCGCTCTGATAATTGCGCTGTGACACGAATTAGTCTAACTAATTAAACTAACAAAAATGAATATAAATGAATACACAGAAACTACACACAGGGTTAGGGTTCCACACCACAAATGACTGTGTAGGGAGGCTATATTTACACCTACTGTCATCATCATCAGAGGACCAACTGTGACGTCCTCTCTTCTCTGCCCTCTACAGGCAAATACTATAAACACTGTTCAGACACTGACAAAATTAAAAGTAAAATGAGATCCTGCTCTTCTGTCACAGAACCACATTTTGAGAAACAAATGACAAGAAGCTTGGATTCACAGTCCCACCAATACTAAACCCATAATTACCCATAATTACCCATAATTACCCTGTCAAGGAAAATACTGTTCTTATGTTGTGAATGATCTACTCATATATGTCATCTGGAGAGAATCCATTTCTTTCTCGTTACATGTTCTCGTCTGTGTGTTGAATGTCAATCATAGTGATTAGTTCAATGTTCAACTTCAGGATACAACCACTGGAGGGCGTTCTGTGGGCTGCAGCCTGTTGTCACTCTGTCTGATCTGACGGCGGTCGTGGGAGACCACGGGGTCGCTGAGAAGATACAAACACTTTATGGACACTTGGACAACGTGGACGTTTGGCTGGGAGGACTGGTGGAGAAACCTCTGCCCAGATCAAGGACTGGTCCTCTGTTCGCCTGTCTGATTGGACGGCAGATGAAAGCGCTCCGTGATGGCGACAGGTACAGTATGTTGGTATTTTCTTAATTTAAACACATGACAAAATAATAAAAATGTGTTTTTTCTTCTGTAGATTTTGGTGGGAGGCTGATGGTGTTTTCTCCCAGCAACAGAGGAGTCAACTTTATAAAGTGTCTCTGTCTGGAATCATGTGTGACAACTCCGACACCGGGGAGTTGCCCCGCGATCCTTTCAGATTTAACAAATACCCTTCAGAATACGTTCCCTGTGCTGAAATACCATCCATGAATCTGGACGCTTGGAGAGAAGACAAGAGCAGAGGTGGGTTTGACCACGATTTGACCATAGTTATGGTCAACCATAGTTATGGTTAACCACGTGTCCTGTGATAACTGTGATTTCCTTCCAGACTTGGAGAGCTGCGGTTCTCCACCACAGATAGAGAACGGAGACTTCATCTTGTCCTCTTCATCTGGGAGACTGACAGCTCTGTACCACTGTCACCATGGTTACCACTTAACAGGCAACGCAGCAGCAGCAGTTTGTGAGGACAGTCAGTGGACTGATGAGCGCCCTCTATGTAAAAGTATGTCCACTGGTCTTGACCATTTTCTCTGATCCTCGGAGCTCGTGGTGACGTCACGCGGCCTCAGTGAAGCAGATCACTGGTCCTAACCCTAACACCAGGCGATGATGACGCTCTGCTCTCACTAACGCTCTACAGTCAAAGACCCACCGTGAAAAGGGAAAATCCATGAAGTCGAGGCGAGACAGTTATTCTATTATTGACGTATATCTTTACCCTTTGTGAAGCCCCCCCCCCCCAACTGTTATCACCCCTCCCTGGACTGTATCACCCCCCCCCCACAGCACAGATTTTTCTTTTTGACAAAAACTTGACTGATTTTAAAATGTCCAGATGAACACAGATTATACAGTGAGGGTGGTTTTAATCTGAGTGGATTATGATGAAATGGTGGGTTAGGAAATATTAATCCACTGAGGAAAAAAATAGAAAAGAATTCAGTGGGTAGTGAAATCAAATACTACTGTACTAATGAAGTAGCAATGAAGTACGTAGTATGTCCTACAAATATTTGTTGACTGTTACTGTACTGTAGTGTACTCTGTGTTTTACCTCAGTTCCCATCTGACGCTTTCTTGAATATTTCTGTTAATATATAATATATACTGTCATACACAAGAAAATACAAAAAACATTACAACGTGTATTTTTGTGTAGTACTTGACGTAGTATCTCCTGACGTTCTTTATACTCATTGTGCACTTTCCTGATCACACAACATAGAAATGTACAAGACTCTGACAAATGAAAAATAAACCGAATCAAATGTTGAAACGTTTGTATCGAGTATCGGTATTTCGATGATGAAACAATCGATTTAGTCACAGGCTGCGACGGATCAACAACTCATTTGTTATGTTTTCACACACTGCAGAGCAGCTGTACTGAACCGCGCCTTCTATCCGCTTGTTGTACAAGCAGGTGGCCAGCAGGGGGCAGACAACGACCAGGTAGCACAAATGACCATTTAAAACCAACAGGTATATTTCCTGGTCTCCTTTATGAATTACCTCGTTAAATATCAGGCTAGTGTGACGTCACTGCACACCTTGTGTACCACTAGTCCCTTTGTACCACTTCTCTGGTCCAACCTAGTCCACAGATTAACTAAATCCCTAATCTTCAGCTAATGCGTGAGTCATGCTAAGGTGCAGATCTCTACACAGTAGCTCTGTGTAATTGCCCCTGGGGGGTGTCGGTTGGTCAGAGAACGTCTTACTCTCCTTCCTGTGATTGTACTTAGGTCACTTCCTGTGTTTAAACAAAGGCAGGAAGTGTTGTTTACATTCTGTTCAGTGTCAAGAACCTGAATCTCAGTGTGAGATTCATCTTTTTGCTGTTGCCTTAACTTCTGTTAATCTGTATAAAAATCATTAACTAATAACCAATAACTAATAACCAATAACCAGGCTTCACTGGATGAGACCAAGTCGTCTGTGAGAAACAGACTGCATATAGAGAATAATCCTAATGCTAACTGCATGAACAAAGAATTTCTGTCTCAGAACTTTTTGACTCCCCCATTTTTCTCACATTGTTGTTCTGTCAATGCCCCCCCCCCCCCCCCCCCCCTTTTCACTTTTCAATCAATCCTTCGTCCTCCACCTCCTCCTCCTCCTGATTATCCCACCGATCCCCTCTTTTCTTCTCCACCTCCGCGGATGAATTGTCTCTCTCTTGACCTTTCGAACCTCCTCCTTCCTCTGTGGGCCGGAGACATCTGGAGAACCAGTCAAAACACAGAAGGGCCGGCCATTGTTTTCTCCTCTGAAACGGAACTCCTCTGCCAGGCAGACGGCGCGAGCCTGGAGCTGCAGTCACGTGACTTCCGTCTTTAGTTTTGGTCCCAAACAGGAGCATGACTACGAGGGTTAGACCTGAAACTCCTGGTCTCAGTCTACAATATTCCGCTGGAATCGTACCATCGACGCTTCTGGGGATCCGTGGGATTTGAACTCTGACCTCTGAGGCAAGAATGTTGTGGTTTGTCCTCCTGCAGCTCATGGACAGTGTTCACTGCTTCCCTGAGGCTGAACACGAGGCTCGGTGCTCGTCCAGCTCCTGCTTCACTCTACATCTGGACACAGTCGCCTTTTCAAACGCTCAGCAGAATTGTGAGGACAACGGTGGTTATCTGATGACCGTCAGAGACCGACACCAAAACAACCTGCTGCACTTCCTCCTCTCGCACATTCAAGGACAACCACAGGACACAACACTGCGCTTCTGGATTGGTTTGAAGCTCAACAGAGGGCGCTGCGTGTTAGCTGACCGGACTCTCAGAGGTTTCCAGTGGGTGAACGGGGGTGAGGATTCCGACTACTCCAACTGGGGACGAGAGCCTACACCAACCTGCACTCAGAGATGTGTGAGCATCAGCTACAGGATGTCCGGTGCCAATCACCTCAGATGGACTGATGGGCGCTGCAGAGCTGCTGCTTCCTATATATGCAAGTTTGACTTCAGGGGGATGTGCAGAGCGTTGGCGCTACTGGGGGGAGGAGACATCACCTACACTCCCCCCTTTTCACGGAAGCCACAAAAAAGACAAATGAAATCCGTTCCATTTGGAACCTACGCCGACATTGTCTGCGCTGACCGACGTCGTCACTATTCCGTGTGCAGGGAAACCGACGGCACGTTTGGCTGGACGGATCCCGGTCCGTTCTGCAGCTCAGGTGAACGAAGCTGCTCCGTCAACAACGGAGGCTGCGAAGGTGGATGTCGTCAGAACGGGGGCCAAGTCCAGTGTGTCTGCGGAGACGGTCACCTCCTGGACGACGACGGACTCTCCTGCAGGAGAAGCAACCTGTGTGCGGCAGATCCGTGTGAGCGTGAGTGTGTGCTGACGGAGACGGGCTACACCTGTGGATGTCCAGAGGGGTTCCAACTGCACGACAATCGGCACAACTGCACAGACGTGGACGAGTGTCCACTGCAGCCCTGCGCCGGTCATCTGTGCGTCAACACACCTGGCAGCTACACCTGTCGATGTGAAGAGGGCTACCAACTGGTGGGTGGGGCGTGCACTGACGTGGACGAGTGTGTGAGCTCCACATGTGACCACAGCTGTGTGAACAGCATGGGCTCCTATTCCTGCCACTGCCACCAGGGTTTCCTCCTGGCCCCCGACCGCCATTCATGTTTCCACATCACTCAGTGTGGCGCTGAGCCCTGCCAGCACCGCTGCACCAACACGGAAGGTCCTGGAACCGGTGGAGGGAACTGTCTACAGACTGCAGTGGTGTCAGACACAGAGGACCGGTCCACAGGAGACAGGTCCACTGAGGAGCTCCAGCACCTGCCTCCCCACACTAGCCCACCAATCCTTGACTTGGTGAATGTCACATCCATTGGTCCAGAGGCCAACGCTTCACTGGAGACCAAGGCTTCACTGGAGACCAACACCTCACTGGAGACCAACACTTCACTGGAGACCTACACCTCACTGGAGACCAACACCTCACTGGAGACCAACACCTCACTGGAGACCAACACTTCACTGGAGACCTACACCTCACTGGAGACCAACACCTCACTGGAGACCAACGCTTCACTGGAGGCCAACGCTTCACTGGAGACCAAGGCTCCACTGGAGACCAACGCTTCACTGGAGGCCAACGCTTCACTGGAGACCAAGGCTCCACTGGAGACCAACGCTTCACTGGAGACCAAGGCTCCACTGGAGACCAACGCTTCACTGGAGACCAAGGCTTCACTGGAGACCAACGCTTCACTGAGACCAACGCTTCACTGGCATCAGGTTTTGTCAAGACAGTGAAGACCAGGATCCTGGTCTGCGTCCTGGGCTCAGTCGTTCCTTTGATGCTGTTGACCACGATCATCGTAGCGATAGCAATATTTCGATGCAATCGTTTGAAAAAGGAAGCAAAGAAAAGCGCTGCGGTAGATGGATACTGCTGGGTGCCCCCTGGTCTGGATCCTCGTTTAGAAAAACTGTATGAGTCCATCCGGACTGATGACCTTTGACCTTGCCAAGTCCTGGTTTATTTATGTAATTTATGTTCTTCCTCTTTATTGGATGCTTTTCATTCAACACCTTATGTTTATTATATAACACCTGTGCACAGAAGGGAGGACACGAGCCACAGGTTTGATGAAGAATCAGTGTAGGAACCGATTGTTTCTGTTCCTGTAGAGACCGATTTTTCACCTGGTCTTCTGTTGATGCTGTTTCCTGTGACTGTGGTCAACCTTCAAAGGACACTTTGAAGTTTTTGTCCCTGAAAAAGTATTTTAGTATTTGAACGTTACTCTTTCATATACGTCTGTGTTGTACACCAGCTGTACATGAGGTAATAAAATACTCTGAATGTGTATTTTCATAGGTTTTCCCTACTTATTTTTGTTGCTCTTAGAGCGCCCTCTACTGTTCTGTGAACAAATCTGCAGCTGCAATTGACCTTTCCTTGACATCATCAAGATAAAAAAATCTTTTTACCAATAGTTTGACAGTGAATTAGTCCACCAGTGGGGGGAGCTGTGTCAGTGTTTTATAAAAACAGGAAAGTGACGACAGGACATAATAATAGGACCATAATGCATTTCTTTCCTGTGTTAAATGTTTGTTCGCAGTCAGGAGTCTTTATCTCTTTTCCTTCCTGTCTTTAAGACCAAGGGCGTGGCATCCGGACTAGGTGCCTACAGACCATGGTCAGATGTCACGATGTGATTATTCGCAGTGGCATCATGGCCTGTGTGAAGACAGGGATTCTGTTTTACTCCGTCCTTTTGTCCATGTCGTCTGTGTGTGGATCTGCTGAGGGTCAGCAGAACTCCGTCTGTCAACCCGTCTGCTCCAACGGCAGCTGCATAACTGTGAACCAGGACAGGGTGGAGTTTAAGAGAGCTGAAGAAAAGTGCCAGGACGTGAACGGAGCGCTCCTGACGCTGGACTCTGACACACAGAGGAGACTCTTTGATCATCTGAGGGGACAACTGAGGGGACATTTTTGGATTGGACTCCGTCTACCGTCGGGCGTCTGTAGCGACCTCTCACTTCCACTCAGAGGCTACAGGTGGTCGTCAGGTCGTCCTCCCGGGACCTTTGTCCCATCCTCCATCGTCTGGAATGACAGTGTAAGAGTCTGCTCTCCCAGCTGTGTGTCAGTGTCCAAAGATCAGGGGTGGACGGAGCGGCCGTGCGGTGACACGCCCCATGGATTTCTGTGCCAAACTCAGCACCAGGATGCGTGCAGGGCACAGGCGGTGTCCGCTCCGTATGTTTTCCAGAGCTCCAGCGGCTGCTCCAGCGCTCCGTGTGAGCACGAATGCACCGACGTGAAGGGCGGTTACGTCTGCTCCTGCTACAAACATTATAAACCGGACAGCACGAACCCTCGGCTCTGCAGACAGTACTGTGGCAAACAGAAATGCCCCGCTCTCTGTGACAAAGACAACGTTGACATCTGCTTCTGTCCTGACGGCTACATCAAAAACCAGGACGTCTGTCAAGACATCGATGAGTGTGAGATGCGAGAGTGTGATCAGACGTGTCTCAACACGTTTGGCAGTTATGAATGTTCATGTGCAGAGGGATTTGTTCTCAGAAAGGACAAGTACAGCTGTGCCTCTGCAGACACTGACTTCACCATGACAACCAAAAACCCTGCAGCCAATAACAGTTCTCTGAAGTCTTCCTCTGCTGCGGCCGGAGACGTTCTCTGGATCTGGGTCTTCACTGCTGGGGCTGTAGTGGTGTTGATATTTGTGATTAGATTTTATGTTACTAGGAGACAGAAGCGACAGCAACAGTCTGCTGCTGCTGCTGCTGCTGCTGCTGCTCAGCTGAATATGTTGAGTGTTAACAGGGGTAGCAGTGTGACAACAACAGACATAACAGTACAATTTGACTAACTAATAAATACATGATGGACGTCTGTCTGTGTCCACTGTTCAGTTCTTTCAAACATTTGAAAAGTATTAACTTTGTGTACATGAATAATCTAAAAGTTAGCATCGTCATGTTGACGCAAACAAAGACTATCTTTTCATAAACCCTCATTTCTACTGTACCTGTGTGTGCTGCAGGTGGCAGCAGTGAGCTCATTAGTCAGTTCTCCAGTGTGACTCACCAGACCTAGGTCACGTGTGTGATGACGGTGAACAACTAACTAACTATACCGTAGGAGCCGTATATTCTTTCACTGATTATTTTAGTTTTGATTTGTTTGGTCTGATTGTCACGGTGACGTCATTGTCACGTGGGTGTGATAGACGGAAGCGTAGCGTTTATAAGGGCTGAAACGCATGTATCGACCGAGGAGAGAGGCTAGGCTAGGCTAGGCTAGGCTAGGCTAGGCTAGGCTAGGTTAGGTGTGGTAAAACGCTTTTTATTGGGCTTTTCTGTGTTAATTTAGAAGCCGCTGTAGCAGCAGCGTGTTTCCTGTTACCTCTGAGGAAAGAGTACTGTATACTGTATACTGTTACTGTAGTAACTATGGGAAACAATCTTCATTTATGAAATATATTAATATATAATCCACTTCACAGAAGTAATCTAAATAGACTGGATGTGTTGATGGTGATTTGAGAATCTGGTTAAATAAACCCTCAAGTTGACTTTTATTTCTTGTACTGTAGTACTGTAGCGGGTACTGCCTTATTGTCTGAGGCATACAGCATCAAATATAACAATCATTGTAGTGAATATGTTAAAAGTGGCTTTTAATCTGGTTTTATGGACCAAAGTTTTCAGAAAACAATGTAAAAATCCCAGTTAAACATTAGTAAAGTCAAGCACAAACGTTCAGGACGCTACGATTTGACTGTGAGAAGCTTTTGGCCAGGACATTAGCGTACCAGTGTCAGGTTAGCTGGCATGCTAATGGTACTAGTACTAGTAAGTTGACTATGTTTTGGCAGCTAATTAAAGAGGAATAATTAGCTTTTGGTGGTTTATTTTGTAGCCTGATATCCTTCCAAAATATTGATGATACTTTTAGTGAATTAGTAAGAATTCAAAGGAACTCTTTTCTTTCTTCTCTCTCTCTCCTTGTTCCTGTTCCTCCTCAGCTCCGAGGCACTGTTTTTATGTTGTTAACCTGTCATTAATGATTCATTCTGTCAACATTAGGTCTCTTTTTAGAGAACGTTTTTATGTGCACACACACACACACACTCTCTCACACACACGGTGACTGGACTAAACTTCCAGTTTCATAAAGAACACAATTTCAAACAAAAGTCAAAAATACAGATGCACCTTTAGCCAAATTTCATCCAATCATTTGTGAAGGATGGTCACATGACTCTGGTTTGATGACACAGCGGGTCAAGGAGGAACATCTCTCCAACAACTGTGTCCTTTCAAGTAAGAAAAACAGGTTCAAGTGTAGATCAAATGACTGAAGAGGGTTGTCTTTCTGTCACTCTGTGTGTGTGTGTGTGTGTGTGTGTGTGTAGTGGGTGGAGTTACCATCAACAGTATAAAAGCATGGCTGCAGTTTTTCATTTCAGACCATGAAAAGTTCCCAGGCAGACGACCACAGACTGCTCTGGTCCAACAGACGGTCTGGACCGGGGGGGCACAGGGGGGTCACCGTGCCTTTGGACAACGGACCCCAGCGGACATTTCTTACAGTGATTGACATGCACTCATCTCTTTATCAACAAGTGAACTTATCTAAGAGTGCACGTGTCGTGTCAACATGTCCGCCAAAACCAAGGCAGACCTTAAAGAGTTCTCTTCCTCCCATCAGCACAGAACCCAATGGAAAGGAACGTACCAGACTGAAAGGACTCGGAGCCCGGACACCGAGAGTGAGCCACGGGAACACAGAAACAACTTTATGTCTGATGGTTTCCAAATACAGGAGAGTGGACCAAATCTGTGACAAAACCAGTGTCCCTGACTCCAAGTCCAACTGCAGACTGACTGGAGAGACTGCTGATGGTCGGTCAGTGGAAACAGGCCATAGGATCCGTGGGGCTGTAAGTCACGGCAGTAAACTGATGACTGCCAAGGTTCAACATGACACCAATCACCACCGGGGACAACAGAGAGTTCCCTGCTCCAGTGACTCCGCTATTGAAACTGAGTATGAGAGCAGTGACGGCAGAGGAAGGAGAGAGAAGTCCAACAGCCCGGATGATGAAGATGATGATGATGATGATGATGATGAAGAGTTCTACACAGACCAGAGGATTGAAGAATGGGTCAATAAGGTCAACTGTTGCCTCTTCACCACAGAAACACGTCAACGTGGTGGTTGGACGTCTGCAGGAGAACAGGATGTAGCAACAATAAAGATGGTCTATTCTGGACTTTGATCACAGCTGCTTCACCCTGGATCACCTCCTGGACCAGAGCCGTGACCCCCCCCTCCCTCCCCCCCCTTACCTGTGAACCCTAATTATTATGATTTTGGTTTTTTCTTGGATCTTGGGTGTCAAGTTGAATTGTTGAAGTTCTTGTTACGAAACAAAAACGTCTCTCAAATCTACTCTTCTAAGACGCTAGTATTTTGGCAGTTCACTCACTTTTGAAACGTTTTGCAGACATCACGTTCACGATGAGTGAATAATGAACAATAAAGTTGATCAGTATTAAAACTTCATATCTTGTCGTTTTAGTCCGTCCATACCATAAACACCTGATTGGGTTCAGTTTTTTATTTTGGTAACCAACATCCATACTTTAAGGCTTTATTTTATTACAACTTCCTATTTTTCTGATCATTTTTTATTCTTTTTATTTTGAAACAATAATGAATAAATGCACCTTCTACTAGAGTGATCTGTCTGTTCTGAAGGGAACAGTTGTTAATAAAGTTGGAGTTAGTAGTTTAAACTCATCTAAAAACTGTTGTTCGTCATATCACCGTCTGGAAGACGTATTTACCTCCGATGTCACGTGATGTCAACATCGGTTTGGCTAATAGTTTTTAACCATTCTGTTTTGGTGGCACTGTGAATGTAACGTTGCGCAGGCGCAGACCATTGCCTTCGTATCTGTCAGTGCCATAGTAACCAGCACGGACATCCACCGACAACATGGTGAGTGTTTGTTTCGCTTGGCTTCGTCGCTGTTTTGTGTTGAACTACGATGGTTGAGCCGCTCACAGAATAAACCTTCCACACGACAAACACTGCTCTGTGGACAGACTCCACCGACGACAGGCAAATGTAGGCGTCCTATGATTGGATTAGCCACCGGGCTAAAGCCTACCGTGTTCCTGTGGTGTGAGCCAACCAGGGAGCATGAGAACTAGTGGCACTTATTACTAGTCCGACTGTCGACACTCAGTGAAGATAAAGTCTGTATCAGTATTTAAAAAAAGATAATGTATTTTATGTACATTTTGTGTATTTACATATGTAAATAATGGGGCAGGTATGTATAATGTCTAGTTGTTTGTATATATAAACAAATATATGTATAACATATATATGAATATATATGTCACACATCATCTGCATATTTTGAAAAATCCTTAACGGTATAAAGTTAACAATTTAGCTTTATTTCACTGAGGGTGAGAGAGGGGTAGTTGGGGGTGAGAGAGGGAGAGTTGGGGGTGAGAGAGGGGGAGTTGGGGGGAGAATTTCAAGTGGAAAAAACAGGGTTTTATTCCAGAGCCTACAGCATCACTGGATCATTGTAGTTTAGCGGTTAGCATGCCTGCTTACACATCTGCCTTACACAAAGAGGTCCTGGGTTTGAGCCCCAGCGGAACACCCCCCACCCCCGCCTCCCTCCTCCATCACTTGGTTTTGGTCACCTAGTTTTAAATGTGCATTTCTTGACGTATTCCTGTGTGAAGTTGTGTTTTCTTCCTTGTTTTCAGGCCAAAGGAACAACGGTAAAAGAAGCACTGACTAAATGGGTGAGTGTGTCGGCCATCTTGGTCCTGGGTCAGGTCAGACTAGATAGAGTTTTTTGATTGGTCAAATTTCTAACAAGAAAATCCCAATGAACTATAAATAAAATAATGGTAACAGCAGTGTGGTCTCTCTCTCTCTCTCTCTCTGTGCGTGTGTGTGTGTGTGTGTGTGGTTCAGGAGGAGAAAACAGGAGAGAAAGCCAGTGAATCTTTATCCATTAAACTGTATGGTCAGATTCCTCCTATAGAGAGAATGGACGCCTCCGTCTCCACACTCACCAACTGCCAGTGAGTACAGTGAGTCAGCAGAGTAAAATATATATTGTAATATTGTATTGTATTATTAAATATATTAGATATAGATATATATTCCTCTGGTCTAGATTATTGTCAGGACTGGATTTAAAATGTACCTTAACAAAGACTTCCTCTGGAGACCTTTGTCTGTCATGTGTCTCTCACAGGAAGCTGTCTCTGTCCACCAACTGCATTGAGAAAATCACCAACCTGAACGGCCTGAGTGAGTAACGATGTTCATGTCGACACACACACACACACACACACACACAGCAGCACCGAGCTGATACAACGTTCTGCTGTTCCTTCCAGAGAACCTGAGGATATTGTCTTTGGGGAGAAATAATATCAAGGCTCTGTCTGGACTGGTGAGTATTAAAGCTAACTTTGAGCCCATTTTACAGAGCTTCTAATTTACAAATACCTACTGCATTCATTTACAAGTTACATTAAAAAGGAACTCTTGTTTCAGAGGACTATTTTTGGTTCTTTAAATATGATCTTTTTTCAACTGATAAGAGTAAAAAAATATATACTGTATATTTAAAACATGTTCAATGGGCAAAGCTGTAATGTGACACTGTAAGGTCCAGTCAGAACAGGAGGGGGCAGTTAATTTTCCCAGGTGCCTCATTAGGGGGCACAAGGACATAAGGTTGTTGGGTTGGATTAGGAAACCACGCACCATCATCATCCTGACTCTTTAATGATGTCAATTAGGTGTCATCAAGGACACGTTAATATATGTCAATATATGTCAATATATGTCAATATATGTTATATGGTACAGTATGTGGACTGACAGATCCCGATGCCACTCAAGTGTTCATGAAGACAACAATCTGTGTGTATGTGTGTGTGTGTGTGTGTGTGTGTGTGTGTGTGTAGGAAGCGGTTGGAGACACACTGGAAGAGCTGTGGATCTCCTATAACATGATAGAAAAACTGAAAGGAGTTCAGTGTATGAGGAGCCTGAAGGTCCTGTACATGTCCAATAACCTGGTGAAGGAATGGGGTAGGTCACGGGGTAGGTCACGGGGTAGGTCACGGGGTAGGTCACGGGGTAGGTCACGGGGTAGGTCACGGGGTAGGTCAGAGGGTAATGTGATAGGATTATCACTGTGGACATTTCCCATTTCTGATGAATTGAATGAGTTTGATGTCTTTGTTTCCTGTTTTTCACAGGAGAATTTGGGAGACTTGCTGAACTGCCGTCCCTCATCGACCTGGTGTTTGTTGGAAATCCTCTGGAGGAAAAGCATTCGTCTGATGGAACGTGGATGGATGAAGCGTCTAAAAGACTTCCTAATCTGAAGAAGTTGGATGGTGTGTTCAATTGATTACCATCAACTGTTGAACCAAAGGGCAATAATATGGAGAAGCAGGGAGTCAAAGTACAGGGAGTACTAGAGGATTGGTACTGTTTCCTGAAGGAAAAACTGTGCTAACACTGTTCTTCTCTTATTGTTAAAATCTTACTTCTCCGTATCTTTTTGGATTTGGAGGATCCAAATCAAATAGATATACATATGAATATCTACATCTATTTCTATCTATCTATCTATCTATATAAATACTTGCTGACAGCTGGTGTATCTGAAACTGAACTGTTTCTCTTCTTTGCAGGAACACCTGTGATCAAACAGGAAGAGGACGATGGCGACGAAGAGAGCTGAAAGTTTAACCTCCAATGTTTCTACCGTCTTTCATACAGTAATAACATCTAAAAGAGACTGTCGTTGTTGGTTAACAAGCACACAGTGGGTAATAAACACTAACTTGAATGAGAGCAAAGTCAAAGGGATAAACTAGAGAAACTATGTTTAGCAAGTACCACGAGGAGATCAGAACATTTTTATCCTTCTAGAGTCTAGAATCTAGACTGTATCAATGAGAACCAGAGCACAATGTAGGGTTTTAACTAACCTTAACCCTAACCCTTGGACCAAATGTTAAGCTGTTGTGTTACAACCTGACTCTGTGCTGTGGTTATAACCATGACGTACAAATAAAAACTCAAGTCAGCATCAGGTTAAACCGTTGCAGTCTGGGTTAGAAAGTGATTACATCTAGTTACCTTATTTCTTATTTTGATATGAATGTTCTTATTCAGTATATCTTATAAGTCATACACGCTGCATTACTGTATAATGCTAATGCTAATGACCTAAATATCAAGTATGCTAATTTGTGACGTTTCTGATTGCAGTACCTTGAACAACTGTTTGTGATGACAAAATAACCTACAATTGTTTTTGGTATGTTGCTACATACACATATAAAAACTATATTTTGTTAAGTTATAATTGTTAAATAAATGCTGATGTTGCACTATGTTGCTTTGGTATTTGAACATTGTTTACACTGGTTCTTGACTTTTGTAACAAAGAAAAACTCACATTAAAAAATCGATCGTTTTTGAAATCCATTTCAAGATAAAAAAAAAGTACTTCATCGCTTTTTCATACGTTATGTCACGTGAGCCGCTTGTTTTTGAAGCGGAACCGGAAGTGGCCGTCACCTGTCCGTTTTCAGGGTAAGTCAGAAGTTTTTAATGTTCGTCTCATCTACAGCTTGTTGTCATATACTCGTCTCCTCTAGACGTAAGTTAGCATTTATAGGATCAACTCACGAGGAAACGTATCGTTTTTATTACAGACAACAGTTGTAATAACTGCGCGGTGTTTGTTTTAAAACACTTTGCTTTACTGTTGGCGTATTCCTGCATTTGTTTGCTGCCATAATCTGACTCGGGAGAGTCGTTGTCCTTTACGTAGTTACCCGTGGTTACGTCAACTGAAAGAGCTAACTGGATAAAACTGGATAGTCAAACAACAACAACTCTCGTTTCAACACTTTTGGTTCAGTGTTTATGGTTCATAGTTTTAGCTCCAGTTAAAGTCAGGAGTCAAAGTTGAGAAAATGTCATAAAAGTAGCTCAGACTCCTGTTCGATTCCAGACCTGTGGTCAGTGTCTGGCTAACATTATTATCCGTTAAGTGACGTCGGCCCCACAATGGCGGAGCCGTTTCATTTAAACACACCGCTGCTGGAGAGCGCCACCATGTCCAGAAGGGTAGGAACTACAGTCTATTTAAAGATGGAGAATTCCCAGCCCTCCGGGTCATTCAAGATCCGTGGTATAGGACACCTGTGTGGTCAGGTGAGTCCGAACCGTCACGTGATTACTGCTCCTGCTCGACGTTTCAAATACTCACCCGTCATTGGTTGGTCCAACAGCTGGCCAAACAGTCCAGAGGAATCGTCTGCTCTTCAGGTTCAACTCAATCACGTGAAGTCACAGAGTTTCTTTCATGACTACAAATGTAAATAGATTTGACTCTGATTTGTGAAAAAATGTTTCTGGTTCAGGTGGAAATGCAGGGATGGCTGCTGCTTATGTTGCTAAAAAAATGGATTTAGCAGCGACCATCGTAGTGCCGTCCTCCACCCCCCCACTGGTCATTCACAGACTCTTGGATCAGGGTGCTGTTGTTAAGACTGTAGGAAAGGTGAGAAATAAATGACACTGCGGTGATGTTTCAGATTCTTCTTTCTGATTCGGTCAAATGTTTTCTTGTAGGTTTGGGATGATGCTGATGCAGAAGCTCTCAGACTGGCAGCCAAAGAGAACCTCACCTACGTCCCTCCATTTGATCACCCTCTGCTGTGGTAAGAGGAACTTATCCAGAAGCGTGACCTCATTGGTTTCTATGTTCTTGGTGATACATACGGAGCTAGAACAGTGTCAAAAAGAATAAATACACAAACAAGTGTACTCACACTTTGACATTTGTCGTTGTGACTCAGCACACCACTGCACCACTGCACCACTGCACCACTGCACACACAACCAAACGTGAGCTCTGTTTTTAACCCATCACCACAGTGAACAGTGTGCAGCTTCAAACGTCTCCACATGCTTACATTTGTGAATCTTTGTGTATTTACTCTTTTTGACCCGGTTCTAGCTCCATAGATACGTGTGTCATGAAATGTATCAACATAGTTATCTGTGCTAATGCGCCACCTACTGGAGGAAGACAAAAACCACATTCCCCTTCCTTAAGAAGCACAGCTCCTGCTGAGGGTCTTGTTGTTCAGGCAGGGACACGCCAGCCTCATCTCAGAGGTGGCGTCCTCTCTGGGTCCTGCTGTGAAGCCTGGAGGTGTGGTTCTGTCGGTGGGTGGAGGAGGACTTCTGTGTGGAGTAGTCCAGGGCCTGAAGGTCGTCGGTTGGACAGACGTGCCTGTTGTGGCAGTGGAGACTGTGGGAGCGGACTGCTTCAACGCCGCCGTCAAGGCTGGAAGAATAGTCACTCTGGATGACATCACCAGGTCAGGTGACAGAAGTGATTTTCTACTGAGCTGTTTCTCAACAGTGTCCAAAATAGAACTCTCTTGTTTCTTCACAGTGAGGCTAAATGTCTTGGTGCAAAGACTGTTTGTCAAAAGGCCTTTGAATACAGCCAGGGTGACAGTGAGGTGACGATCATCTCTGAACTGGTGACGGACCAGCAGGCTCTGCAGGCTGTGGAAACCTTCTTAGGTTTGTGTGACTTCTTCTTCTGTGGAACTAAGTGAATGGTTCTGCTGGAGTGAAGCTCTCTGTCTCTGGAGAAACAGTCAATACAGACACACGTTACCAGTGTCTACACAGGCTGATTCTCCAGGGACGATAAGACGTCCATGCTGTTTGTCTCGTTTGACTGTGACAGATGAGGAGCGTGTGCTGGTGGAGATGGCGTGTGGAGCCGCACTCGCAGCTGTCTACAGTGGACTGATTGGCAGATTACAGGACCAAGGTAACTAGATCAAAGACATCAAAGGAGTGTCTCTGATGAGATGATCAAACACACCTGTAGTGATGGAGCTGTTTATATCAGACTGTGGACCAATCAGGTTTAAAGGAATCTCATTGGGTCATTAGAGCTGCTGCTAATGGTTTAATGGTGAAGGAGCCAACGCAAGGTCAAAGGTCAAACACCAAGAAGTCAATTTAAAACTAAATGTCATTGTTATTTGATTACAGCTAATAGTGGAACCACTGTACACTGTTTACCAGTGGTCCAGCTGGTCTCCAAGGCAACATTTTCATGTATTGACATTGACATATATTGTGTCCCCCAGAGGTTGTTGCTGTTCTTTTTTCTGGTTGCTGCCCCCTCTTCTGAGGGGCCCTGACACCCCCTTATTATACAGTTGTCTTTGGGGACACGGGTGTTAGCTGCAGTCCGAGGACAGTAGTTGACTTTATACCAGAGGTCAGAGGTCAGATGACCGACGATGATACTGGATCCCAGTATCTCATTAGTTTTAACCATGTCTTTTCTCAGGTCGTCTGCCGAACTCTCTGGCTCCCCTGCTGGTGATTGTGTGTGGAGGCAGCAGTATCGACATGAACCAGCTGAAGTATCTCAAAGAAAAACTACAGACCTGAGGCTTCAGGAGCAAAAACCATCAATGGTTCAGTTAGAAATATATTGATCAGATCTGACTCCCTTCAGCAGAACCTGTTATTCACAGTCACAACCAGAAAACCCAACTGATTCTGTCTGTTGTCTGTCAGTTGTTTTTACAGGTGGTAGTGAATGTTAACTGTGTCAGTTCTGCTCTAGTTTTCACCACTGAAATGTTTGTGACGTGTCTGTTGATCTCGGACCAGATGTCTTAGTGAAACACAATTAAATAGAACGCTGGGTGGGGGGAGGGTGGGGTCGGGGGGGGGGGCAGGTATTTACAGTAAAAATCCCTCTCTA